CCCCAACATTCAGAAGTGATTCAAGGTGTATTTAAGCAAGCTTAGAAGCCATTGATTAAGAACAAGAAACATCAAGCAACTAGAATCAAGAGAGAAAGAAAGAATCAAAGTTCAGCATTTCAAGCCTATTTTTCATTCAATATTCATTTTGCTTTCAAGAACACTTATTGTGCTCAATTGTATTTATTTTTTAGTGTTCTTTTCTTTGTTCTAGAATTGTGCAAACAATATACCTTGTGAGGATTTCCTTGTAAGTTTGCAAAATTTGTATTGTTCTCTTTGGGAGAGAGTGTTCTCAAGAATTTGGGTGAGGTTACTTTTTTTGTCCTCAAAAGAAAGATAAATTAGTGGATTTGTGGAAAATCCTTAGTGTGGATAGCTAAGGTAGTGGACGTAGACTTTGGTTGAGAAAGTCGAACCACTCTAAATCGTTGTGCAATTATTTTCAATTTTCTGCAAAAGCTTCCACCAAAATTTTATTGCCAATTCACCCCCTCTTGGCCGATTCCTTCAATCGATTAACTCAACAAAAATACTTTGTGAAAATTGTTTCAAAAATATATTAAGTATAAAACACAATTTTACACATTTAGTAAGGTTTTAAATTGATCTTGAAAGACTTGGAGTAATATTTTGATATTCGATTAATTAAATCGAATATACTTAGAAAATCTTTTGTAAAATCTTAAAATTCATTTATATTTAGTTTGTTATATCGAAACATCAAAAATGTTTTCAACATGATACAAGTACGAAAATTAAAATTCGGAAGGAAGAGATACGTAATTCACCTTGGGATCCTTGAATAACAACAAATCGATAGTACAATCACGAACAATTCAAATCCTTAGCCTCCATGAAAATGTCTTGGTCTCTACTTAATTAACTCGGTTGAGAGCAATTTCTTTTCTCAAAACTGTTTTGAGAAATTTCGTAGACTAACCGACTGTTAGACTGTCATATTCTATTTATAACGTGTCACACTAACCCTTAGGTTTTATTCTGAATTTAATAAAAGAAATATAATTATCATTCTTTTAATATAAATTCATCATTTTTTTGTATAATTAAAATTACACGCATATATATCAAATATATATATTAATATTAATTATACATTTTATTCATGTACAATAAAATTGTACATTTGTAACTCATTTATAAATTGTTCATTTCAACCCTGGGTGTGACCCTGCAGGTTCCTATAACATTAGTAGTAATTATTAGAACCATTCTAATATTACAAACAATGAGTGACATCTAGCAATAAATCATTGTCACCTAAGTTACAAGAAGTCATGATTTGACATAACATCTTCGTGACTAACTCTTTTTATGTATTATATCCTTTTTTCTTTTATATAGAATAGGCACTAGTCCTAGAATAGTCACACTTGTATAGCCCATCTATTATTTCTTGATATATAGAGTAGACTATAACGAATGAATAATTTGTGATATCTCATATTAACTTATTCGGTGTTACTTGTGGAGTATGATACATGTGTAATTAGGGGCATGCAGGTCACATTTATTTTTATACTGAGTCTGAAACTTTTTATGATATGATGTATGAATGAATTTTATTTTTGATATGTGGACGATTTTCTGAACTTGTGTTTATTTATAAATTGTGTTACGGTTTTATATGGTTTAGAGAAAAAAAAAATTCTCGGTATTTTTACTCTGGGTTGCTCTGATGGCCCTAAATATAACACCTCAGATCAAATCAGGTCAGAATCAAAGATCTCATGATTTAGAGTCACTTGGTAGGCCTGGTTCTCGATAGGGTGCTGCAGAAATGAGCTTTTACAAGTGACTGAAACCTCCATGCTCTGATCTCCTCCACGATGACGGTGGAGCTTGCACCATGACCGTCGGTGGACTTGGAAAGTTGAGTGGATATCACTAGTTTCAGCAATGTTGAATACCTCCGGCTCATTGGTGATGAAATATCAAAAACCCGTGGAGAACCCATATTTTATCGACGAGCAATTGATGACCTTTTCACAGTTAACAGTTTTGATTCTCAACAAGTTATTGACAAAATTTTGATCAGAATACGATGACGAACCCTTCGATAGTGGCAGTGTCGATCATTGTTGGTCGAACGACGATTGTTTTAGGGTGGACGACAATTAAGGATAGCTTGGAAAATTAGGGGTTTTGGTTTAATGCACATAGGGGAAATCTTATTTTTTGGGATTTATGATATCTTCTATATAGATTTAAAATATAGATTTATTCATTAAATAACCAACAGTGGCCTAGCCTAGATGGTAGGAGTATGGGTGGCTGTTGGGATCACCAGTACACCCCATGGCGCAATGGAAAAATTATTAGACTATCTTACCAGTGATCCAAGTACGAAAATTCAAATTCGGAAGGAATAGATACGTAATTCACCTTGGGTTCCTTGAATAACAACAAATTGAACAATACAATCACGAACGGTTCAAATCCTTAGCCTCCACGAAAACTTCTCGGCCTCTACTCAATTCACTCGGTTGAGAGCAATTTCTTTTCTCAAAATTGTTTTGAGAAATTTTTTCCAAGAAGACTAACCGGCTGCTAGACCGTCATTTTCTATTTATAACGTGTCGAACTAACCCTTAGGGATTTATTCTGAATTTAATAAAAATAATAATTATCATTCTTTTAATATAAATTCAACATTTTTTTGTATAATTAAAATTACACGCATGTATAACAAATATATATATATATTAATGTTAATTATACATTTTATTCATGTACAATAAAATTATACATGTGTAATTCATTTATAAACTGCTCATTTCAACCCTAGGTGTGACCCTGTAGGTTCTTATAACATTATTATTAATTATTAGAACCATTATAATATTACAAACAATGAGTGACATCTAGCAATATATCATTGTCACCTAAGTTACAAGAAGTCATGATTCAACATAACATCTTCGTGACTAACTCTTTTTATGTATTATATCCTTTTGTCTTTTATATACATAACATTTTTTAATGAATGTAGAAAGGACAAATCCTATCTTGATCATTCACACATCACTACATATATCGTGATATGTTCAATATCAGTCTTTATAGTGCAACCAATTATGAAACATGTTTAACTGTATCAAAACATACAACAATATATGTTGAGATAGTAGTGATCTCAAGTCTGAGGATCATACATATAGTCATCACCATGAGCAGTGTTGTGACTGTCACATAATAATCCAAGACATGTGTTCATAGTGGGTCAATCCAATATGTCGTTCTCTAACAACATATTGATGCATCGATTTTGACATCTCTATGTCATTGACAACTCATTATCATGAATCAACGTGTTAGCCTTAAACATATTATCATTGTACATGCCCATAATATTACTCGACTAAGGACTTTTCAATAATAATCATTTAAGAGTCAAAGGAAAATGGGTAAACTAAGGTCTAAGGTCCCGAATTGTCCAGGAACTTAAAACCTAACATATTATTTCAAACTCTCACAAGTTGGTCCCTACTTTTCTTTCAATTGACTTTCGTATTTTTAATCCTCTAAATAAAATTTTAGGGTGTTACACGATATGAAATAGTCAATCAGTAGATTAAATATCAGTAGTTAAAAATTTTATGTTAATTTGTCTATCTTTGAAAATTTAATTAAATTATATTTATTTAAATAAAAATTAATGTATACTTAAAAATTAAAAATAATGTATAAGGATCTAAACATACGTGAATTAGTAAAATATTGATAAATTTAGATAAAAATTAAAATTATATTTATGTGATATTATTAATTATGTATAGTTTGTGCAATCCATGTATGTAACACAAAATAAAAGAGTGCCACATATAAATGTGTGAAAATTTATACTAATATTAATTATTATATAAATTATAAGTATCTTAAAAGGTTAAGCAATGTTTAAAGTCTTAGTACTCTCTACACAGTGGCAGATCCAAAAATTTATAAATGAGGGTTCAAAATTTTAATTTTCTTTCCGGGGTGCAAATTTTTTTATTTTTTCTATTTTTCTTTAACATATTATATTAAATTTCACTTTTTTTCCTAAATAATAGGGATGCACTTGACCCTTAGGGGGCTTAGTGCATCCGCCCCTATCTCTACATATTAGGATTTTTGACCTTCTACTTTTATTTTGAGGAATTTAATTTCTATTTTTTTACTTAAAAATTTTAAATCTTAAAAAAATGATTAAATTCTTTAAAATAAAATTTTGAGTTTAAATGTATAAAGAATACAATAGCTCATAGCATATTTTAGCGTATCTTAGAAAATGTCCAAAACCTTCTGCATTTTGTCGTTTTCTTGAAAACTATAGTAATAGTCCAGTTTCGGTGTCGTAAAAGAAGGGTAAAAATCTTGTTCCGGGGGGGGGGTTTCAGCTATACCATGTCGGTGTCCTAAAAGCCAAGTCAGTGAGGTAGAATGTGTCAATAATAGGGTACAAGTAGAATGGTAGTAATTACGGTAATTAAGTAAATCTCATTTATTTTGCTACATGAATCGTCTTTCCAAGCATCTTCTCACCATTAATGGTTTTGTCCCAAATATCCCACAATAAATGCCTTCTCTTATTGTTGCTCTTTTCAAACTCTGTAAATTTGGTGTACATGTGGTTTTGCTAAACAAATGAATCATAACCTGTTATATAAATATATATGTACAAGTGATTTTTGTCTTGGTTGCAGTACTTTTCTTAGTTTTCTATCACGCTTTGCAGCTGGTCCAGACAGACAACATACAGATTTATGTACACAGTACACGTGTGTACATACAGAGATGTTCATGTGCTCCTCTCTCATAGCCACTTCGAAGACATAAATATTCCTCACACGTGTGAAGATTTTCTGAATATAGGGAAGACCTAGTTTGCACTTTGCAACTGTATCTTTTAGGGGATATGGCAGGAATAAATCCATAAATAATATTTAAGAATAAAACAAAATCCAAATGTTTTACTTTTCTGAGAGTAAGGAAAAATAGTAAAATCTGAGATGTTAAAAAAAAGATAAGGAGAAGATGGAAGCTATTACGAAATGATCATTACAAATGTAGATCCAAGCTAACATGATCATTAACGTTAGGTTTCGATTCATAAACGTACCGACGACTCTGGGAACTCGAATACCGACGACTCTGGGAACTCGAACCATTGACCACCACCTGCGATGGCTGCTTCAACTCATCGCCAGCGAAAAATGGCAGAGGATGGGTCGATGAACGGGCACAATTGAAATTACACGCGCCACTTTGAACTGTAGAAGCCGGGATTCTCCATAACCCCAGTGGGGTGCCATTGATGAGCTGTGGCTGAGAAAACGAACTGTGGTTCTCATAAAACCTACCGTTGCTGCTATTAACACTACTGTTAATGCTATTGTTCCACGAAGGGTAAGCCGCCATTGAAGGCGATGGAGCTGAGGCTAGCTTATAGTTGAAGAACCCATAAATATTATGAGCATGATCGTGAGATGAAGAACTGCGTTGCAGGGTTAGATGATATCGTTTCGCGTGTTGGCGTTCCCTTCTGTGAGCGTTTTGGTGACCGCCTAATGCTTGGGAAGTGGGGAAGTTTCTGCAACAATAGTGACACTCAAATCTTCTGCTGATACTATTGTTATTATCTTCATTCTCGTTTTCCTTGGTCTTGTCTTTGTTGTTATGAGCTGAGTCTGGCTCTGAATCGGTGACGGTGGCCGAGTCAACACAGTCGCGGCCTCCGAATTCCTTGCCGAACAAACGGATACCCTTTTCTTTAATGGGGGAAGGGCGGATGAAGGGAATCTGAGAGAAGGATTCCACGTTCATGAAATCGTGTGTTTCCTTCTCATTATTCTTCTCCATGAAAGTTTTTTTTTTTTTGAAGAGAATCCGAAATGGGAAGAAAAGAAATAAAAGGAAAGGGAGAGAAATGAAAGTAGCTAAGAGGGGAGGAGGTGGGGCCTATAAAAGAAGGGATTCATCGATGGAGGAATGAAGCAGTCATGGCCATGAAGACGACGGCGATTTTCCAAAAAAATCACCCTTACCTACTAATTTTCCTTGTCAGATACCGTTCAGACTATATTTCTCAATCTAACACCCTTTGCAATAAGGCTCACTCCAAGGACGCGTCTTATGTTGATCTGGCACCACGTGAGGTAAGGCACGCCCCTAAAGCTCGTCTTACTAAACGTGTAAAAAATTCGGGTATTAATTTTGTAAATATTTTTAAAATGATGTCTAATATGTAATTAATTTCTTTTAGGGTGATATTTATGTAAAAACGTTAACTTTATTTATTTTATTTTTTGTATGTGAAAAAAACTTTCTACATTAAAATCTTTAAATATTCTTTTACAAATTATTTTATAACTCGATAAATTTTAATTTTTGTATGAAATTAAATAATACGTATAATCTAATATAGAAAATCTTTGAGGATAAATATTTTAAAATATGAATAATTTTATAAAGGTTTTATAACTATTATTTTTTTTAAATGATGATGATAATAAATATTTTATAATTTAAAAAATTATAAATTTTATATATTTTTAAAAAAAAGTGACTTTATATTCTTTTTGTATTAAATTTTATTCACTTTTAATTCTTTTTTTATTACATTTTTATACTTTTAATTACAATTGATATATTAAATGAATTATTATTTATTTTTTTAAAAATCAATAAAAATGTAATAAAAAAGAATTAAAAGTGAATAAAATTCAATAAAAAAGAATATAAAGCTAAAAAAATATCACCTCTTTATTTAAAATATTCTTTCTAATATTCATTTTAAAAAATATTAAATTCTAATTTTATTAAAAATGAATAAACATTATTAATTTTAAAAGTTTATTTTTATATTTTTATATTTTTAAACAATTAACTTTAGAAGTCAATTGTTTTTCAAAAATATATAAAATTTATAATTCTTTTAAATTATAAAATATTTATTATCACCGTCATCATTTTGAAAAAGAAATACTAGTTATAAAACTTTTATAAAATTTTTCATATTTTAAAATACTTACCCTCAAAGTTTTACTATACTAGATTATATGTATTGTGTAATTTAATGCAAAAATCTTACAAATCATATATCAAATGAATTATTATTCACTTTTTTAAAAAATCAATAAAAAAATTAAAAAAAATTAAAAATGAATAAAATTCAATACAAAAATAATATAAATTCAAATTTTTTCAAAAATATATAAAATTTATAATTTTTTAAATTATAAAATATTTATCATCATCATCATTTTGAAAAGAAATACTAGTTATAAAACTTTTATAAAATTACTCATATTTTAAAATACTTACCCTCAAAGTTTTCCTATGCTAGATTATACATATCGTGTAATTTCATGTAAAAATTAAAATTTGTCGAGTTATAAAATAATTTGTAAAAGAATATTTAAAGATTTTAACGTCGAAAGTTTTTTTTTCACACAAAAAAATAAATAAATAAAGTTGACGTTTTTATGCAAATATCACCATATAAGAAATTAATTACATATTAGACATTATTTTAAAAATATTTACCAAATTAACACCTGAGTATTTTACACGTTTAGCAAGACGAGCTTCAAGGACGCGTCTTACTGCAAAATGTGTTAATCGAAAAATATAGTCCGAACGGTGCTATAATCGAATTTAATTACATAAATTCAAAAAGAATAATATTTTTGACTCCTATCTCATGCGAAAGTTACTTTTATTGTATAAAATATTAGAAATATTAAATATTTTATAAGATTTCAAATAGAATCATTATGCATTTCAAAAAGTTATCCCCATCAATGCCGGAATAAAAATATTATTTATCTAGCAGTCTTATTATTTTCATGAATAGTATGGATGTTTACGTATCCTTATATTGAATATTACCAGGTCTTTTTCCCCCTGTTCTTAATGATTAAGCAATAAGCAAAAAGAATTAATATTTGTATAATTAGTTAGATATCATGTGATCTGGGCATGGAGGCAAGCACACAATACAACAATCTCTCTCAAGGACCAGAGGGGTTTATATGAGTTAGTGTAGCTTCTTTATAGAGGTTGGCTGTTGTATTTCTGCTGTCGTGGTCCTCCATTAGTAAAAATAACAATTTACACCATTTATTGAACAAATACACCTATTATCTATTCATTCTCTTTACTTAAACTAATAGTTTTGATATGTTGTAATATCTAAACTTTTAAGTTTTTTAAAATCATATTTAATGTTAAGTTTTTATTTTATTTTAATACCCGTTGTTAGAAACTTAACGGAATTGATACAACTTGACATTTTTTGGGTAAATTACATCATTCATCCTTTAACTATCTTCTTACTCCTATTTTAATCATTGAAATTTTATTTTTTAGTTTAATTACTTCACTTTCATATTACTCCTAATTTAATCACTCTAATTCAAATTTAACTTTTTATATTTTAATTATATGGTAACAAAATAATAAAAGATATAATTCCATAAAATATTAGTAATAAAATAATAATAAAATATCATGTCATAAAATATTATTAATGATATAAATTAGAGTGATTAAAACATGAGCAATTAGAAAATTGAGAACTTAAATTGAAAATCTTTGAACTTCAATGACCAAAATAGGAGTGAAAAGATAATTAATGGATGCATGATGTAATTTACCCATAAAAATTATCACATGCAAAAGTTTCGTTGAATTTTGAACGATGATATAATAAAATGAAAAAAAAAACAAAATATTAAATATAATTTTAAAAAAATAAAAATTTAAATAATAAAACAGATCAAGTGATTATTTATATAATAAATACATAATTTACCCAAACATATATATCTATCACGTGTGGGTTTGTTTGGCTTTAGGATTTAGCTTTTCTATATACGGAGAGAGAGGGAGAGAGAGGGGGGAGAGAGAGAGAGAGAGGGGGGGGGGGGGGGAGAGGGGGAGAGAGAGAGAGAGGGGGGGAGGGAGGGGGGAGAGAGAGAGAGAGAGGGGGGGGAGGGAGGGGGGAGAGAGAGAGAGAGGGGGGGAGGGAGGGAGGGAGGGGGAGAGAGAGAGCGGGAGGGAGAGAGAGAGAGAGAGAGAGAGAGAGAGAGAGAGAGAGAGAGAGAGATGTTTGGTGCGTGCTGCTGGGTATTTCAATTATTCTCAAGTGCATGCCCTCATCATAATTCTTCCTTCCTACCACCTTTCGTTGCCACATTTAGCTATACATCGTTTTTAAAATGTAATTTAAATCAAGAACCCCTTCATTCATGCAAACACCTTCTTTGCCATTAAAGTCGTAGTCGCAGAGCTTGTGGTTTGGAGGGGGACCCTTCACATTGCTGGTTGGTTGTTTCCGGGAAGGAACTATGTCCTGTGTGGGAGGTGTCTCCACCCAAATATTTTCATCGATCTTTCTATTTTTAGTCTTCATTAATTCTAAATTAATATGCTATTGAAAAATTAATACTTATCAAGTTACTCGTGAATTGTTTATATACCAACATTCATTTTTACTCGTTTTTTAAGTTAAATATATAAATATAAATATAAATATAAATATAAATGAAGTTTATTTATTTATTAATCAAACGGATTTAAATAAATGTTTGTTTAGCTTGTTTATTAGTTTATCATTTTATGTTTTTATAAAAGACACTTAAAGATATAGGTGTTATGTTTAGGGACGGATGCACCAAGCCGCTATAGGGTTCAAATGCATTTCTATTATTTTGAAAAATTAGTTAAATTTAATTTAATGTGTTAAGAAAAAAAATTGCATACCTATTATTTTTAAAGAAAATAAATTAAAATTTTGGATCATATTCTTAAATTTTTGGATTCGTCACTAGTTGTGTTATTTATAATATATTATTAACATTTACATTTTATTATTTTATTACCTAAAAATATTAAATATGTTCATTTACGATCTATTTGTTTATTGTTTGACTTATAGGTAGGAGCGATAATGGTTCTATCAACTTTTATGATCCAATTACATTTTAGGCGACTGATAATTTTGAGACCATTATAATTAAGTCTTCAACATTTCTAAAATTTCTTAGTATAATTATTTTTTAGGATATTGTCAGTTTTAAAATTAATGAAATTAAACATTGACTCCAATTTTATCTGATTTAATTATTTTAAGACATATGAATTTTAAATTTAATGAAATTAAACCCCTCGTCTCTTAATTTTTATGGTTTAATTATTTTAAAGATCTTATTTATTTTAAAGTTAAGCAATTTGTCTCATCATGCTTCAATCTTGACTTCATCATTCATCATGAACATATTTAATTATATGTTTACGAATATATTCGTAGAAATATTTTCTTAATGATTACAAACATGTTCACTTAGTGTTCGTGAACTTGCTAACGAATATGTTCATAGATATTGAATGAACAAGTTCCCAAAGATTAAATGAACGGACACACATAATTTTAAATAAATGAGCACAAACATAATTTTAAAATTCTTAATAAAAAAATCAAACACAAATAGGTTTAAAATTTAACAAACTAAAATAATCAAAGATTTGTTCTTTCAAACTCTATTTATTTACAGTCTTAAGTGCACTCCATTTATATTTAAGGGAACATCTTCATGGTCCCAAAAAATATCACTTAGTTAAAATTTGAATTAACTATTAGAAAACCCTTATCATTTTATTAATGGAATGTTTTATTAACCAAAAGAAATGATCATCCAGTTTAGTTGGTAGAGCACAAGGTTTTTAATCTTGAGGTCGTGGGATCGAGTCCCATGGAGGGCATTTCATAATTTGGAGGTCCCCTACGAAAGCTGCTCTCAACATAATATTGGGAGCAACCTACTATCTTACCTCCCCTTATCCCATTACATATGGGAACAAGGGACAACCATTTTATTAACCAAAAAACCCCATTTTTTTATTTATACTT